AATCCTGCTTTCTCTTTCCTTATCCTGCTGAAGCCTGAACAGCACAGGGCATCCCTGCCCCCAGGGAGTGCAGCTACTGGGCAGAGCAGGCTGGGGCAGGATTCCCAAGGGGAAAGGCACTGGCTGCCTCCCACACCTCTCCCACGGCTGGCTGGGACTGTAGGAGGGAAGTGCAGAGGAGCCCTGTCACCTCCTCCCACCTCAACCCTGCTCTCACCTGCTGATTGCTGGGAATCGAGTCTTTATCCAAAGAGACGACTCGAAACTTCACTGGAAAAGGGAAACGGAGATGGAGGAGTGAGTTCATCCTCAGGGAGGATGGAAATCCCCCCCGAGCCCTGCAGTGCCCCTCAAGCAGCACTGCCAGGGTGTCCTGGCATTGCCCTCTCTCAGTGCTGGGCATTCCAGTGCATCCCAGGATGAGCCCTCCTATTCCCATGCAGTGTAGGAGCAAGGCTGGGCCTCCTGCAGCCCTCTCCCACTTCAGCCAGAGCAGGGTGGTGCATCCTGCCCCCATCACCTTGCTGGCCAGGCTTGAGGACAGGTTTATCTGTCTGTATGAAGATCCCAGGGTCCAGCATTTTCAGCTTCACCTCCTTCTTCTCAGACACGTTCAGGGAATCTCCTTGGATTGAGATGTGCACGTCAGGTTTTCTTTCTTCCCACTGATGGGAGCTGCAGCCTGCAGGGGGAAACATCAGGCTGCAGGTGAGGATGAGCCATGGCCAGGGTGCTCTGCTCACTCTGGGTGACCCTGAGCTCTCCTCACCCACAGGGACACCTTCCCCGAGCCAGGGGCTGGGAAGAAATGTCCCCCCAACACCCTGCTCTGATCTGCAGGTCTGCTACCAGGGGATTATTTTAGCCACTGGATAACTGGGCTGAGCCTGGAGTAGTTCTGTCTGCATGAGGGATGAGACTCTGCCAAAAGATGGGGAAGTCACATCTGCTCCCAGGCCCGTGTGGGATCACAGCCCCAGCTCAGGGGAGCTGGTGGAAGCTGCTCTGCCTGGAGGCACTGAGGAGCCCAGGATATCCCCAGGACATCCCCTCCCTGCTCGGGGCTGTTTTGGGGTGACACTCACAGCGAAGGTGAAGTTCAGGTGCATCTGAGGCTGCTGGATCTCCCTCTTCAGCAGGGTGATGGGGTGGGTTCTGTGCACTCCCAGCAGCTTGATGGTCACCTGGAGGGGCTCGCTGAGGTTGCTGAGATGGACCCAGAGCATGGCTGGGCAGGGGTGGTACAGCACAGCTGGGGTCGTGACCACAAACCTCCTGCCAAGGAGAAGTGCTGACAAGAGGGGTGTGGGGGTGAGACACAACCCAGCACAGACCCCATGGAGACCTCAAAGAGCCCCTGGACGCTCAGGAACCTGTGCTGGGGTGCAGCACCACCTCCCCCAGCCTCCCCACACTGCTTCTGGGCTCCCCTTGGCTTCCCAGCTCAAAGCAAAGGGCACCTGCAACAACCACCCCAGGGCCACCAGCCCAGCAGCCCCCAGTGCCACGTCCTCGATGCTCATGGGCAGGAACAGCCCCTCAGCCTGAGCTTCCCACCCTGGCCAACGACCACCAACAAGGGAGGAGCTCCCAGCAGGAATTCCCGAGGAGCCGAGGCTAAAGCCATGACAGCACAGACAGACAGACAGACACAGAGGGGGCTGCAGATGCCCCAGCCATGGAGTGCAGGATGAGGAAGAGGATGGGCAGGGCTGGAGACCTCACGTCTCCAGCTGGAAGTGGGTGTCTAGGATGGCCACAGCCTCCTCCTGCAGGTCTTGGATCACTCTGGACCCGCGTCTGCCCCTCTGCAGGCTCTGAAATGGGATCTTTGCTTCCCATCCAGTGAGCAAACAAGGACTGGCAGAGGGATCCACAGGCACCTGCAAATATAGCTCAGGCCACATTTACCCACAGCTTCCTGGGTTCGAGGCTCTGCTGGATTTTTGCAATATTGGGAAAGGTTCCTATAACCTGCAGAGGTTCAAATCCCAGGGGCAGGAATCACCTGAATGCTGCTGTGCTGGGAAATGATGCCAGGGTGGAGTGGGAGTAAATGGAATGGAAATAGGCAGCACATCATGATGACACTGTATTATATGAGTCTGTGGTGATTTCTCAGAAAGGGCAAGTTTACGGGTGTTTCAAAATTAACCAAACAGCAGCTATTTGGGCTCATCACACATCTGAGGCTGGATTTTTGCCCTGTTTCCTCCAGTTTTATCAAATCTGGGTAGAGGAACAGGACAGGAAGCTGAACATGAGCCAGAGTGTGCCCAGGTGGCCAAGAAGGCCAATGGATCCTGGCCTGGATCAGGATCAGTGTGGCCAACAGGTCCAAGGAAGTGATTCTTGCCCTCGACTCAGCACTGGTGAGGCCACCCCTGGAGTGCTGTGTCCAGCTCTGGGCCCCTCAGCTCAGGAAGGACATTGAGGTGCTGGAGCAGCTCCAGAGGAGAGCAACGAGGCTGGTGAAGGGACTGGAGCACAAGTCCTATGAGGAGAGGCTGAGGGAGCTGGAGCTGTTCAGCCTGGAGTAGAGGGGGCTCAGGGGAGACCTCCTCACTCTCTGCAACTCCCTGACAGGAGGGGGGAGCCAGGGGGGGGTTGGTCTCTTTTCCCAGGCAACTCTCAGCAAGACAAGAGGGCTCGGTCTCAAGCTGTGCCAGGGGAGGTTTAGGTTGGAGATTAGGAAGAATTTCTTTCCAGAGAGAGTGATCAGCCATTGGAATGGGCTGGGCAGGGAAGTGGTGGATTCTCCGTCCCTGGAGGTTTTTAAGGTGAGACTGGATGTGGCATCAGTGCCATGGGCTGGGAACCACAGCGGGGTTGGATCAAGGGTTGGACTTGATGATCTCAGAGGTCCCATCCAACCCAGGTGATTCTATGATTCTATGACAGTGTTGTGTTGTGGTGCTGACTCCAGCTGCTCTTGTTCCTCTTTGCACCACTCTTGGGAGCTGAACACCAGCCAGGGCAGGGGCTGAGCTGCCTCCTTCTGTCCTGGTGGGAATTCCAGAAAGTTGAGGCAGCTCCACAAGAGCCACGTGGTGTTCAGAGCACATCCCCTGCTCTGCAGGGTTTCCTCCCTGCTTTGCAGTTCCCTTCCTTTTGGGGATGTGGGCAGAGGCAGTGCTGTGGGAACCATGGAATGGCTTGGGTTGGAAGGGGACTTAAAGCTCATCTTATTCCACCCCCTGCCTTGGGCAGGGACACCTTCCATGAGACCAGGTTGCTCCAAGCCTTGTCCAACATGGTCTTGGACACTTCCAAGGATGGGGCAGCCACAGCTTCTCTGGACAAAACGTGCCATCACTCCACAGGAAGCCATGGAGGGGGCTGACCTCTTTCTGTGGGATCTCAGATGACCATGGCTGCTGTCCCCATGCCTGCCCTGCTCAGGTATGGCTGGATACAGCCCTGTGCCCACCCCCCTGCCCTTTGGAGCAGCCCCACACAGTGTTGGTGCCCGGAGGAGGCTGGACCTCCCACCCCCAAGGGCAGGAGTTGGGAGCATGGTCCTGGGTCCATCCTGCCCCCTCCCTGGGATGTGGCCGTGGGTCAGTGCCCTGACAGGCATCCCAGGGGTGGTTCAACCTCACCAGGAGCTCATGGCTCCCCCAGCACTGCCAAGGCCACCACTAACCCCAGTGCCACATCCACAGGGTTTCTAAATCCCTCCAGGGGTGGGGACTCCACCACTGCCCTTGGCAGCTGTGCCAGGGCTGGACAAACAAAGCAGCAGGGCAGGGTCACTGCAGATCCCATGTTTGGAGGGCAAGGTGCTCCCAGAGTCCCTGTGCTGAAGTTTCTTTCTCTCCCCAAGCTTTCACCTTCCACTGGCAGTGGAAAAGCCAGCAAGGTCTCTGCCTGGGACGTGGCTGTCCAGCTTGGACAATGCTTTGCCCAGAGAAGCTGTGGCTGCCCCATCCCTGGAAGTGTCCAGGGCCAGGTTGGACGGGGCTTGGAGCAACCTGGGCTGGTGGAAGGTGTCCCTGCCTGTGGCAGGGAGTGGGACTGGATGGGTTTTAAGGTCCCTTCCAACCCAAACCTGTCTGTGTTCCTATTAATGCATAACCCCTAAACCCAACCTTTGCTGGGCTCAAGGTTCTGGGCAGCCAAACCACACCCAAGGTGGTGGGAGTGTGGTGGGACCACCAAGTCAGTTCAGACCCAACAGACTGAGCTGCACACTGGGAACCCTCCAGGCAGGAAGGGATTAAAGGGGTTTTCTAGGACATGGGATGCTTCATGTGTACACTGCCCTTGACCACCTCCAAGTGACAGTTCCTAGTCTGGTGAGTTGTTGCTTGTGGGAATCCTCTTTCCTGCTGCTGATGTTTTGGTGTCTGTCTGGGCAGATGATTGCCACAGATTTGCAGGATTTCCTCCATAATGAGCCGGCTGCTCCCGAGAGCAGGAATGATGCCAATCCCCAGTGCTGTGCCCTCGCCTGCCCATGGCTTGCAGGTTTTAGCTGAAGATGGGAGGTGAAGCCTTGCCCACCCTGCTTCCAGCATAGGGGACAGCCCCCCCACTGCAGGTGTCCCTGCCCTGCTGCAACCCTGAGGTGGTTGGGACAGGAGCTGCTCAGCTGGGAAGGAGCCAAAAGATGTCCAAATCCCTGCCTGACTGTGAGGAACCAGCCAAGGAAGTTGGCAGCTGGTGGATGGGTCTGGCTATGCCACAGTTTGGAAGCCATGGGGAGACATCTGGAAGCCTCCTGATCCAGGTGGGCACAATGCAGGATCCTCTGGGTATTTGGGGTTTTAATAGATGCTCTTCCTGTGCACTTACTAAGGCAGGGAGAGCTCTACCTCAGGGTCAGATCAGTGTCACTCTCCCCCTGCCCTGTGCTCCTCACGCCATCCAGCACCACACCCCAGGGATACGCTGTGGTGTCCATAGGGATGCTCCATGTGCATGGATGCAGGCCCCCAACATGGTCCTAAGGAGGATTCCCCCTCCCCAGACACAGGCAGGACACAAGCACACCCAGCACCAGCTACAGCCTGTTTAATCTTGCAGCCTTGGCTCACAACTCAGCGTCGAGGATGCTCTTCCCACGTGGCAACATCCCCTGGAGCTTGTGTCCCCCCAGGCCACATGCAGCACTCTGGACTCCTCTCCAGAGCTGGCTGTATCCCAACAGCATTTTAGGAGCCTCTGGAAGAAGAACCCAGCACGCCCTTGGGGGAAGTCAGGGGTGGAAAATGGTGCTGTGAACCCCCAGCCCTGCCTGGAGCAACACCCCCTGCCCACTGTGCAGGCAGGAGCCATCCCGGGGGACAGACACAGCTCCAGGCGTGGGGGACACAGGGGATGCACAGCCATAACCAGGGGTTTTGGGGGGCACCTTGCTCTGTTTTTGGGGAGCTGCCTGGTCCCTGTCCTGCACTGCTCTGCTCCCCTGGCACCAGGGCACCGTCCTGCCGGGGCGGTGGCAGGGCTGGTGGACACGTCCTCAGGGGACAAGGGGACAGCATGGCCCAGCCTCTGGCTGTGCCACCTCCCTTGTGTCCCCGAGGGACTCGCTCCCTCTGCCTAATAAGTGGTCCCAGTTGAGTCCTCCTGGCACTGGGGGCTGCTCGTGCCCCCACCCTGGTCCCCAGACATCTCAGCCAGGGCATCAGCCATGGCCCTGCGCACAGCCTCGGTCAGCTCGGGGACATCCTCCGGCCTCAGGCCCCGCGTTTCCACCTTGGGCAGGATTCGGATGGTGCACGTGCCTGGGAGAGAAGGGAAAGGCCAGGAATGCTGTTAAAGGAATCACCAGGAACCACCTTCACCATGGGCTGCCTCCCCACACCTCAGTGTCCCACAAAGAGACCCCCACGTGCCTCCTCCCCACTGCCAGCCCTGCCTTCTGGCATGGGAATTCTTGTCCATCGCTTACCAGAGGTGAACCTCTTCTCCTTGGAGCTGTAGAAGTCCCGGTACGGGGAGATTACAATGGGAAAGATGGGAACCTGTAGGACATGGAGGGTCAGGGGTGCCTTTCATACAGACCCCCTCCCCAGGTGGAGGTCCCTGTCCCACCCTGGGTCCTGCACAGCACAGTGCCTGTCCCAGGGGACCAAAAACACCTCCATCCCACTGTCCCAGGGTGCACCCCCACCCCGCTCCATCCAGGGTGAGCAGAAGGGGCGGATCATGGAATCATTTAGGTTGGAAAAGACCTCCAAGACCATCGAGTCCAACCCTTGACTGAACATAAGGATATTCCCTCACCTGAGCCTGCACAGCCAGGTGGAAAGCCCCACGCTTGAAGGGCAGCATGGATTTGTTCTGGTTCCTGGTGCCTTCGGGGAAAACCCACACTCGGAGCTGCAGAGGACAAGGAGAGAGGTGAGACTGGACCACAGCCAGGGCACCTGGGACCTTCTGCATCAGTCCTCCACTCACCCCCTTTAACCCCACGGGTGTTTTCCCCCCCCCAGTCCCCCCCTGCTGCCAGCCCCCCTCACGTTTTCACGCCACATGGTCCTGGCTGTCTGGGAGATGACATCGATGGCAGCGTCTCGTCTGTGGCGGTCGATGAAGATGATGCCAGTGAGCCAACAGGCCCAGCCCACAGTGCCCATGTACAGCAGCTCCTTCTTGGCAATGGGCACACAGCGCTCAGGAATGACCTCCACCATGCCTGGAGGAGGGATGGCAGAGCTGTTAAAATGCCTTCCCAACCCCGGATTATCTGAGGCAGAAAAATCAGCTTGGAAAATTATTCACTGCTTGGAAGATTAACTCCCAGGTTTGGACAAAGCAGCTGGATACCAGGAAGGTATTTTGCAGAGCAGCCACCCCATCCCTGAGAGGTGATTACTGCAGAGAGGAACCCTCCAGAGGGGACAAATTAGATCAGTGCACAGACAGATTATTTAGTCATTTGCACCCTAATATAGCACCAGGTTGGATTTTTTTAAAAACCTGACTTAAAGGACTTTAAGTCGTGCCAAGTGGCTTCCAGAACCACCCAGCCCTGTGGCTGTGGTGACCTGGCATCATCTCCTGTTGTCCCAGCCCTCTCTCTGCAGCACACCCCTGTCCCACCAGCTCTTCTGGCCTAAGCCCACCACACTTCCCTGCATAAATCCCGGTGCTGACCTCACTGGGACCCCCCAAAGCGAGCCTGGGCCCCCCCTGCAGCACCCCAAAGGCTGCCCATGCAGTGACAGGCACCCCTTTCCTCCCTTGCACGTACCCAGGAGGTCAAGGGAAGCTTGGTGGTTGCAAACTATCACATAGGGCTCCTCGATGTTCAGGTGCTCTGTGCCCCTCACCTGCATCTTGATGCCACAGAAGCGTTTGAGGGGCAGGATCGCGGCGCGCAGGAGCCTGCGGAGAGAACATGTGTGGGGAGCAGGTCTGCACAGCCCCAGGGAGCAGGAGGGGCCAGCCTGGGCTTGGCCTGCTGCTCTGGTGGATCTGTGTTCAGTCTCAGGGATGCTTTGCTTTTCCCAGCAAAATCTATAGCCTGTATAACTCATAACTAACCCTCTACCCACCCCCAAGGTGAGGCCTCGGTGTCTCGGGAGCAGAGTCTGCCCTGCAGTTGCTGAGGAAGGACAGGGACCAGCACAAGCTGGTGGGAGAGGAAAAACAGGCTTTGTGGTGTCCAGAGATGATGGGAAAGCAAAAAGAGAAGAGAAGATGAGGAGAGGAGGGAGAGGGAGGGAGAGGAAGGGAGAGAGAGGGAGAGGGAGGGAGGGAGAGGGGAAGAGGGGGAAGGAGGGGGAGGGAGAGGAGAGGAAGATGGGATGAAATGATCACATCCCAGTGAGGACAGCTGCCTCTGGCCAGGTGAGATTCACCTGGAGGCACCCCCAGGTGCCCAGCTGGATCTGTGTGTGGGCTGGAAGCCCAGAGCCCAGCACTGCACATACCCAAAGCCAGAGGAGCTGGACCACAACCAAGAGGTGCTGAGATGCAGATGGATGAGCACTGGAGAGGGATGCGCAGAGGGACAGTTTTGAGACAGACAGGTCCACAGAGATGTGGATGATTCCAGGGCAGCACTGCAGGGACCAAGATTTGTGATGCAGATGGAGTAGGAAAGAGCAGGGAAGGGAAAACAAGACCAGATACATTCCTTAGAGGAAATCACAAATAGCTTCACCAGACCTGCAGTGTCGGGAAGAGGTGGAGGTTTCATTTGTGTGGCATCACACAGTGATGTCACATCCAGAGAGGGCTGGACAGGAAGGGTAAGATTGGGATGGCAGTGAAAGGTGATGCTCAGTATGAGAATAATGAGTGGAATGGAGGGAGGAGGAAGCAACAGGGATTACAGCACCACAATGGAGGTAAAAAGCTGGGCACTGTCCAATCCACAGCACAAAGATTGCCTGTGCCAGGGTCCACATACCCGGCAGTGACTGCTCCCAGGGAGCCCACAGGGAACAGGGAAAGGGCTCAGCACCAGGTAGCGAGGAGAAGTCTGGGAGGAGAGAGTAGAGGCAGGCACAGAGGGAGAGGGAGGCATGATGCTTAGAGGGTCCATTGAATCAGAAGACCACCCAGCCCTGCAGGCTCAGAGTTCCCTGTGTCTGCAGAGCAGCAGTGCCCCAGAGCCAGGACTAATGACAGGAATGCGCTCCAGCCTGAGGCTTTGGGATTCGGAGGAGAGGGAGCTGGGCGTGCTGCTCCGGGGGAGTTTAGCTGGGAGGAGTTGGTGGGACAAGATAAGGCAGTGAGTTGGTGGGACAAGATAAGGCAGCGAGTTGGTGGGACAAGATAAGGCAGCGTGAGTCACCCCTGTGTCACTCGGGGATTTGCCCTGAGCCGGAATCGTTGGCACCGGGGCTGGAGCAGCCCTGGATGGGGATATGTGTGTGTGTCTGTGTGTGTGTGCACAGCATTCCTGCACATTCCTTGGCCATATTGATCAACAGAACTGGTCTACTCTGGCCTCCAATCGGGAGGTCTGGAGACACACCATCTATAACTGATGCTGATGCTTTTGAGAAAGCTGCAGGATCACTCTCGAGGAGAAAAGACAACACAGAAGGAATCGTGCCTTGCAGAATTTACCACCTAAGGAGTCCTTCTGCTGTGCCTTTTGCAATCGGACGTGTCTATCTCGTATTGGCCTTTTTAGCCACCAACGCGCTTGTAAAAAACGTGGGTAGAGCCCTTCCCAAATCTTCCTTCGCAAAGCCAAGCCTGATGATGATGATGATGATGATGATGTTGATGATGATGATGATGATGATGATGAAGATGATGTGTGCACAGCATTCCTGCACAGAAGGGACCAGGCAGAGAGGCTGCACAACACACTGATAACATCAGACCTTTGACCACACTCCTGCCGAGGGCCACAATCCATCAGCACAGATCCGTGATCGCTGGAGCTCAGCGAATACCTCAAGCTCGGGTATTTTTCACTCTGACATAATTATACTCCTGCTGGTATGTTATCATGCCCAGGAATCCAGCAACGGGATTGCAACACCCTTAAAAGCAACCAGATCTTCCTCTCGTGTTGCACAGTGATGTTATCTCGGCTGCCACCAACCCTGAGCACAGTGACAGCACGAGGACACAACTCATCAGGGCATGGCTGTGTCACTCCTGGCAGCTGATGGCACCGAGACACCCCAAAAACACAGAATCATGGAATGGTTTGAGCTGGAAGGAGCCTTAAAGACCAGCCAGTGCCACCCCCTGCCATGGCTAGGGACACCTTCCACTAGCCCAGGTTGCTCCAAGCCCCGTCCAACCTGGCCTTGGACACTTCCAGGGATCCAGGGGCAGCCACAGCTTCTCTGGGCAACCTGTGCCAGGGCCTCACCAGCCTTTGCCAAAGCATCATCCCTGAGGCTGCCACAGGGTTGCAGTACCAGGGAGACAGCGCTGGACGTGTGTTTGCACCCTGCTAACGATGGTACCTCCAGTCTTTGCCAATTCTCCTTCTTGCCCCAGGAACCTCAAGTCCCGACCCAGCTGGCCACCTCCATCGTGGTGTAACCCTCCCTGGGCATGGCCAGCACCTCTCCACCACCCCACAAGGTGCAGAGACACCTTCACTGCCACACGGACACGACCACAGCCCTCGCCACGGCCCCAGGGCCCAACCACCGGCTGTGACACAGCTCCGGGTCTGGTCAGGGCAGCAGAGTGTGTCCACAAACCACAGGAGCTCCTCCACCTCAGCCAAGCCCAGCCACCTCCACACCATCTCCACACTCCCAAGGCCATACTCACTTCATGTTCTCCACGGAGCGTCCCCGAAGAGCCGCGAAGGGGGACAGGACAGTGGCCATGGCCACGAGCCAGCAGTAGAAAAAGGCCACCTTGCAGAAGTAGTGAAAGGTGGTGTTGTACTTGTACAGCAGCAGCCCTGCCAAGGGCAGGAGCAGCAGCCCATGGAGCAGGAGGACCACCACCATCATGCTGCCCCTGGCCAGAGGGTGCTGGGGAGCTCAGCCCTCGTCCCCGGGAGGAGGGCGAGTGGCACGGGGACACCGAGGAACGTGGCAGGTGACTCAGGTGTCTCAGTGTGTGGGTGTTTGGGGCTGGTCCAGGGGAAGGTACTGTGTGTATCTCACCCTGTGCACAGGCCTGGGGATGGACCAGCTCCCATGGGATGCAGGGCACCCCACCGAGGGTGGAGAGAGGAGTGAGTCAGCGCCGGGACCCTGAGTCACCCCCGGTGTCACGCTGGGTGAGTGCCCTCCCGGGCTATCAAAAGCCATTGCAGTGACTCCAAATTGATGTGATCAGATCTGTCACCCACAAAAGTGTCCATGATCTGGGAATCTCTCCTGTCCAACCCTGGGAAAGGGGGTCTCAGCTGGTAGGGACAGCAAGAGCTGGTCCTGGTCCGTGCCCATCACCCCGGCAAGGCCTGTCACAGTTACCTGCTGGCACCGTGGCTGATCCCCAAACCTCACCCTGCAGAGTATCAGATTATTGGAAGATACCTCCCCAGCTGGGACAACATCAGGCACGTGGTGCCCGTGCTTCCCACCTCTCTTCTTCCCTCAGTTTGGGAAGAAGAGCTCCTGTGCTCTTTCCCTCCCATCTGCCACCAATGTCCCAGCAACACTTTGGAGGGCTCAGCTCTGCCGCCCCCCACTCCCACCCCAGGCTGGAGGAGATGCCAGCCCTCGCCCCAGTTGGCAGCCAGGGTCTGCATTGCATTGGGTGTGTTCACAGGTACAATTAGCACCACAGGGCTGTAATTAGCCTCTCCTTCTGCTCTCTTGCCCTCGCACTGGGCACACAGGATTCAGGCCAGCTCTGGGCTGCCCTGTGGAAACTCCAGTCTTGCTTTTAGAAATCAAGTGCCTGTCACTGCTCAGATAACTGTGGCCTGGTCTCTGCCACCAGCAGCACCACCCAGCCCCGTGGGTCCATGGCCCAAACCATAGAATCATAAAATCACAGAACCACAGGATGGTTTGGGTTGGAAGGGACTTTAAAAGTCATCTCATTCCACCCCCCTGCCATGGACAGGGACACCTTCCACTAGACCAGGTTGCAACTGGAGAGTGCCCCAGTTTGACCAGTGACCCAGGGAGGGCTCAGGGGTTACGTCCATCATGGGTGTTGCAATTCCCATTGCTTCACCCTCCCATTCCTCTCATTATTCTCATATTAAAGCTAAGATTGGGTCATGTCTTGAGCCCATCCTTCCTGTCCACCCCATTCCAGGTGACTCTTCGCCTCCTTCTTCCCTTTTTGTGTCTATGTGGAAATCTCAGTGCACCACCCTGGTCTCCCACCAAACTCAGCTTTGCTTTTGGATGTCTCCCTCCCCTTCTGCTCTGCCCAGCCAGTCCTGCCACCTGCCAGAGGGTTCCCAGCTGGAGGAGATGGGCTTTCATGCTGCAAACCAACGTGACCCTCCTGCTCCACATTTTGGGGCTTCTCGTCCAGCTTCAGCAGGAGCCAGGCTGGGGAAGATCTGCCTGTCCCAGAGCACAGCGAGGATAAAGTCTCCCTTCCACCCCAGAGGAGAGGCAGGGCAATCCTCATGCCCAGTGGGGGCACCAGGAGGGGATTTAAGGTGCAGCTGCCCTTCTGCATCCTCGGAGCTCCAGAGGACCACCAGCCCTGAGGTCTCCTGCCAGGAACTCTTCTCTTGGGGATGGTGACAGAAGCAGGGCTGTCACCCCAAAGTGGGGTTGGGGAGGTAGCAGAGGCAGGGAACATCTTCCAGCACCCAAAATGCATCTCTCCCCACTTCCTCCAGCTTCCTGGTGAGCAGAGGGACACTGAACCCTGGGAAACTCCATGATCTCCCTTTTTCAGGCTCCCCCACCAGGAGTGAGCTGCAGGGCAGATCCAACTCTCCCTGCACTCACAAAATATTCTGAGTTGGAATATGATCCACAAGGATCATCGAGTCCAACTTTAACCCTACACAGAACATTCCCAAGAGTCACACCAGGAACATCCCACTCTGCTTCCCACCTCCAACCCCCAGTACCCCCCCACGCCACACCAGCACCCACACCAGGCACTGATTTATCCCCCCACCGGGTACAAGAGGCTCTGCACCCCCCTCACCCTCCAGCCCCGAGGGAGCCCTGCATTCAGGCACAAAGCCATCAGCCCATGTAATTACAGATGCTTAATTAGTGACAGCAGGGTGCTTTCTTAACAAAGCAAATTAATTACAGGCAATGTGCTGCATTGAGATCTGAAGGGACTAATGAAGACCGGGAGCATCTGGGCTGGGAACATCTCCCCTCTCCCCACCCACCAGGACACAGCACAGCCCGTGCCACCGAGTCCTCGTGGACGCAGAGATTGGGATCAGGATGTCACCTGGGGTTGGGTGACAGGCTTCGTGACACCCCCTGCCTCGAGGCGGCTCGGGGGGAGGAAACCACCCCGAACTGATGGGTATCCTGAAGCACCCATCCAGGATCTTCTGGGATCACGGGCTGGGATGTTCTAGAGAAACCACGTTGGGAAGCACGGAGCTCACAGCCTCTCCTCCAGCACGCTGTAGTACTCTGTGGGGAAAGGGAGGAGCTGGAGGATGTGCAAGGGATGTCCCGCCCTGGATCGGATGGATACAGGGAGCAGGGAAGGCTCAGCCTCGGTGGGGCTGCCTGGCTGATCAAAGCCAGGGAAGATGTTCCTCGTTGAGGGACATGGGGAGAACGTGTCCTTACCTGATGCTGGCGGGACATTGGGTCCCACGGTGCCGGTGGCACTGGGGGGTGGAGGAGGGGGCACCACACTGCTGGAGGGGAGCAAGGACAAGTGAATGTTGCATTGATGTTCCCCCTCGTGTCCCAGCTTGGGCTGGAAGTCCTGTTCCACCAGGGACCAGGTGGCATAAGGCCCCCCCTCGTTACTCACACCTCATCCTCAGCTAAGGAGCCCAGGAACCGCACAGCCCCTGGACCCCGATCCCGCTCCGGGTCCAGCCACGGCGGGATGGGAACAGGACCTGGGTAGGGGATGTAGTGATGGTGGAAAACCACAGCCTCCTCCTCCTCCTCCTCCTCGGGCTGCAAAGGCATCGCCAGCGCCTGTGGGGAGGAACAAAAGGCAGGGCCGTGCCAGCTCCTCGTGCCCCTGGGCCCCTGCTCCCACAGCACCAGCCAGGCAGTTCCCATGGAGCCACACTTGGCTGCTCCCGGGGTCCAGCTGGGTGGGCTCGGCCCCCCACAAAGCCCCACGGTCAGCCAGCGTGGGGACCCGGCTGCTGGGGACACGGGGGGTGGCAGCCCCACAGATGGGACCTCAAAACGCTGCTGGGAAGAGCCCTTTTGATCCAGCCACAGCAGGGTCCAGTCTGGGCCAGCACTGCACTGGAGGGCACTGGGAGGGCAGGGAGGGGGTGGATGCCTAGAGGTGCCAGCTGGCAGCCAGCACAGCAGCTGCCCAGAGCCCAGCTCCCACCCGTGCCCAGAAAGCACCATTGTTTCCCCCCGAGGAGATGAAATGTTTAATGTGATTTTGGTTCGAGGCGAACTTTAAAATGACAGCCCTTGCAGAGCCATCCTTGCCTGCTGAGCACACAGGGAGGGTCCTGGCTCTTCCCAGCTGGGCTAAACCACCTCCCAGCAGCCTGGATGTGACCTGTGCTGGCAGAGCTGGGGGTCAAACCAGCACAGAGAGCTCCAAAACCACAGGGGGCTGCAGAGCCTGCACTGAGCTGGGCTGAGACCACCCAGCTTCTGCACCCGGAGGAGTCCCGTGCTGTGCCAGAGTGGGACATGGTCATTCTGTTCTCCTGAGCAGCCCTGGAAAGGTCCCTTTGCCCACTCCTTTGCCCACCTCTTGGCTCCCTTGGTCCCTTTGCCCACCCAGCACCCCTGGCCCCTACCTGGGCAGTGGCTGGGGATGGGCCAAAGCCGAAGGACGTCAGTGCCGACATGGCCAGGCTGTTCATCAGCACCTGGTGCATTTGGGAGTTTTGAATCATCATCAACTCGATTAAATCTGCCAGAATGTGGAGGGTTCTGCGTCAGAGAGGGATCAGAGCAAGGGCAGGAGAAGCACAGCCATGGGATGGGGCGGCACCAAGGCTCATCCTCGTTCCCAAGCAGCGGGAGCGAAGCCAGACTTCCCCCGCCCCAAGCTGGAAGGCCCATGCGGCATTTAAAAATTCTTTTGCTCGGATGAAGCTTTAAAATAGCCATATTTCAGCCCTTTCTTCTTTCCAAATGTGATTAAACATCTGGTCTGGCTCACTGGAGGCTGCTCGCAAGGGCTGATTAGTGGTGCTGGAGGCACCAGACTTTCCACCCGCTCGGAGGAGAACTGCTCCGGCTCTGGCAGCGTTCCATGGCTTGGCAAAGCCTCTGCCTGGGCACCAGCTGGCAGAGCTGGTGTCCTTGGGGTGGCAGGGCATGGGAGCACCCCAAGGTCAGCTCTGCTTTGTGCCATGTCACACACAGGATGCTCAGAAACCCCCAGAGGAGGCAGGAGCTGGGGCAGTTCCACGGGGATGATCCCCAGGGCCCCCATCACCATTCCTGGGAGCTGGGTCTGGGAGAAGAGCAGGTTGGGGACATTTGGTGCCTCCTCAGCCCCTGCCTGGCTCCATACCAGGATCTGGGACCCAAAGCAGCCGTGCATGTGCACATCAGCATCCCAGTCCCCTTGGCTGAGTTTCCCCTTGGCTGAGGTCAGCCCGACTGCAGAGGACACACACAGTCCAGGTCTGCATCCCCAATGAAACATCCCCATTTGATGCAGGTGGGAAATTCCCCTGGAAAATACCTGTAAAGCTGCCAGAGGGGCTCCCCCTGAGCTCCTGCTGGCTTTGTGCACGAGACCTGCCCAGAGAAGCTGTGGCTGCCCCATCCCTGGAGGTCTGGACAGGGCTCGGAGCAACCTGATCTAGTGGAAGGTGTCTTTGCCCATGGCAGGGGGTTGGAACTGGGTGAGCTTTAAGGTCCCTTCCAACCTAAACCATTCTGGAATTCCATGATTCTGTGACCTGTGAGTCCCTGTTAGCTGGAGCCTGGGTAAAAAAAAGCATTTGGGCATCCCTGTGCCCCATGTGCCAGATGCCCAAATGCTTCAGAACTGCAGGGATGGGCTCCCAGGACACCCATGAGGTGAGTGGCCCTTCAGCAAGAAGCATCCCAGCACAGCCTGGGAGGTGGCCAAAGCTGGAGCTGGGAGGAAGGAGTGGGCCAGCAGCCAGGCATTGAACTGGGGAGAAGGACATGAAGTTCTGGCAGCTCTGAATGGATCCCACCCACGCCCAGGGCTCTGAGGGGCTGGGCTGGGTCTCTCTTTTCTTTCCACACCAATTTTCAGCATCATCTTTCCTCCATGGATTTTTAAAGACAATTCAACCTTCCTCCTCCCCACAACGCTGCACAGCTTTGTCCATGGCCTGTACTGAGACCACAAGCCCCCCTGTCTCTGCTCCCCCAGCCCTGGGTGGCACAAGGTTGGGTGAAATCCCTACAGAAAGTTGCACATCCTGCCTGCACATCCCACGGGCTGCCCCATGTCCCAGCTTGTCCCCATTTGGTCCCACCTCACATGGCCATGGAGCCCCTGTCACCCTGGTGATGCCACCCATGCCCCCATGAAATGGGGCTTTGGACAAAAAAAGCAAGTGAATTAAAAACAAACAAACAACAAAACCCAAACAAAACCCAAACGAAAAACCCAAACCCCAAACAAACAAACAAACAAAACCCCAACCCCCAAAAATATTCCCTGGGAGCACCCCTGGTGTGGCCAAAGCCAGCCCAGACTTCAGGTTTGGTAAAACCTCCCAGAAGCCCATCCCATGGGGCCAAGCAGCCGTCCAAGGGTGGTTGTGGCTGTTCCTGAGAGGCTACAGAGGGTGGGCACAGCCGCCCTGCCTGCCCTGCGTCGGGAAAAGGCTGGAAAAAGAGAAGAGGATGAAGTTAAGCCGGGTTTAGCGCTGACCTCTGCGACCTCTCCCATCACGCACCTCCCCGGACGGGCGGGGGTCCCGCGGGGGGGGCCAGGACAGCCCCGGGCCCTGGAAGCTGCTGGAGGATCATCACGGGCTGCTGGGACACCGGCACGGCTCCCTGGGGACATCGCAGGGATCGGGGCTGAGAGAGAGGAGGGGAAGGAAAACCCCAGGAATGCCTGCTCCGGGTTTAATGGAGTGCCCTGTCAGTGGGGCAGCCGGGGAGGAGAGGGGACAGGGGCTGGTGGCAGAGAGCAGGGAGGGGACAGGGGCTGCTGGCAGGGAGCGGAGGGGACAGGGGCTGGTGGCAGAGAGCAGGGAGGGGAGCTGCTTCCCGGGGGAGGTGGGTGGGAGCGTCGGAGGAGGGGGTGGCTTCCTCTGACCCCCGTTTTTCCAGGGGCGCAGCCCTGCAAACGTGGGTGAACTGCACCCCTGGAGAGTCCCCACCTCTGGGGACACGTCCCTGAGCAGGGATGGCCTTCCCGGCTCTAAAGGGAGCAGGGAGGCGTTTTGTACCGACCAGCTTTGCTGCCCTCCAGCCCTCAGTGCCCCCCCAAAATCCCGACCCCAGCCCCTCTCTCCTCCCGCCTCATTCCATTTCCCACCCCCTATCCCAGAAATCCAGAGGCAGAACTGCTCTCCGGGGCTTACCCTGTGTGGGATGAAGTAGGTCCCTGCTGGAGGGTCCCCCTGGGCCCCGTGAGGGTCTCCCGCTGTCCCCCTTTCCATGGCTCGGGCGATGGGGGAGCGGATCCGCAGCAGGAGCCGGGATCGTTGCCACGGCTGCTGGGGAGAAACAAACCCGGAGGCTTGGCCGGGCAAGGAATGTCCCTGGGCTGGTTTTCCCCGCAGTGTATCCCCAGGAAAGGTCCTTTCCAGCGCTGGCAAAAGCACCCGGAGGGGCTGGGAGGCATCTGCAGCGTGTCCCCGTGGGGCTTGAGCCGTGTCCTCTGACCCTGGGGGAGCCCCGGGATGGGAGAGCAAACCTGGCCAGGTGTTTCTGCAGGGAATGGTGGGAGATGGGTCTGGCTGAGGCTGGGGCAGGTTTGGGTGTCAGAGTGGGGTTGGCTCTTCCAGGATGTGCAGTGCCTGCTGTCTGATGGGGACACCCCTGCCTGTCTGTCCCTGTTGGTGGAGGGAGAAGATCCTTCCAAGCCACGGGATGTCCCCTCAGGGGTCCTCAGAAACATCCCCCCGTCCACAACCAAGGCACAGTGGCCCAGGATGTCACTCAGCCTCAGTCTGGTCCCTGAGATGTCCATGGCACAGTTCCAGGTGCCCTGGGTTTGTCTCCCAACCTTCTGGACCACTTCCCCGGGGATGCAATGACCAACCAGCACATCCCCCCATGGAAATCCCAGCAAGGCTTGGCGTGAGCACAAACCAGTGGCACCAGGGCGTGGCTCCAGCCTGCTGCTCTCCCCTGCCACGAGTCCCTCCCAGGATGCTGCCAGGGGGATTTGTGTCCAGCAGACCACAACCAGCTCACGACTTCCATTTATCTCCCGCTTGCAGAGAGCTCTGCATGTCCCAGCTCATCCCAGGGAAATGCTGTGGCTGGGAATGGTGAGTCTGCAGGAAAGATTTAATCCCCAGCAAACCCGTTGCAGTGAAAAACCACTTTCTCCCCTCTAAGAGCCCAACCCCGCCGGCCTCAGGGATCTCTCCCCCACCTCCACCAGCTGCATTTCCGTGGCTGCCCCTCTGGGGGATTATTTCCATGGATGTTGCATCCGAAATCTGCCCTGCACCAGGAGCACAGATCTGGGAACTTTTCCCGGGAACTCAGCCTGCAGCCAGCCCTGCTCAGCAAGCAGGGACACATCTCTCCAAAAACTCTTGTTCTGCCCCAGAATGGTACCGAGACCCCCCAAGTGCCAGGGGAGGAGCTCTCCAAAGGCCTCAGCCCCCAACCATTGGCTCCAGTCAGGCTATTTTCTGCTTGATTAGGTTTTTCTCTGTGTTCCTAATTTTTCCAAACCCCTCTGGATTGTTTTTCTGCCTTTTGTTCTAACTCCCAAATTCCAATTATTTGCACATTTAATTACTGTGCTGATTCCTCCTCGTTTCTGGCAGAGCCTGATGAGCAGAGCCTGGCTGTCAGTCCTGCTCTTATCTGGGGGAGGGATTCAAGCATCAGGATGAGGGGTCTAAGGAAACCTTGTGCCAGAGGGGGATGTGAGGGGTCCAGGGGACCTGCTTGGAATGTCCTCAGCCCTCCCATGGCAGCCTGAGCCCCTCTGGAAGTGTTATGGTCTGCCCTCCTGTATGGGAGAAGAGAAGGAGAAGGAGAAGGAGAAGGGGAAGGAGAAGGAGAAGGAGAAGTAGGAAAGAAGGAAAGAGAGAAAGAAAGGAAGAGAGGGAGGAAGGAAGGAAGGAGAAAGAGAAAGAGAGAGAGAGAAAAAAATTAGAGAAAGAAAGAGAGAGAAACAGAGAAAAAGAGAGAGAAAGAAAGAGAAAGAGAGGAAGAAATGAAGAAAAAGAGAAAGAAAGACAGGAAGAAAGAAAGAGAAAAAGAAAGAGAGAAAAAGAGAAAGAAAAATAAAGAGAAAGAGAGGAAGAAATGAAGAAAAAGAGAAAGAAAGAAAGAGAGAAGAAGAAAGGAAGAAAGAAAGAGAGAAAGAGAGAGGAAGAAATGAAGAAAGAGAGGAAGAAAGGAGGAAAGAAAAACAAAAGAAAGAAAAAAGAAAGAGAGAGAGAAAGAAAAGAAAAGAAAAAAGAAAGAAAAAGAAGGAAAAAGAAAGAAAAGAAAGAAAAAGAAAGAAAAGAAGGAAGGAAGAGCAGGAGGCTCAACAGCCAGATGGATGCTGAGTGCCATGATAGGCACTGGCCAGGAAAGCAGAGTCTGGGCACAGGGAAATGCAAGTGTGAGGCCTGAGGGCTGGGGACAAAGGCAGCTGTGGCCGTGCTGTCCTCAGGACACTGCCCAGAGACACCTTTTATAGGCAGAAATGATCCTCCAGCTGGAGGTACCAGCTCTTCTCACCAAGGAGGGGGGTGAGGACCCTCATGAGCCAACTCACCTACACCGGGGAGAGGTGACAGCCCAGGATCAGTTTATATTCCCCACCTTGGAGTGCTTGGTGATGGCACATCAGCCATCCACATGTACATCCTAGGAAACCAGGGCCCAGGAGGGATCAGAGGAGTTTACAGTTCTGGTGGGGATGGACCCCTCTGTCCCCAGTAAGAGCCACCTTGCCAAACCAACTCTTGAGATGAGACTTGTGCCAAGAGACACCCTGAGGGTGCTCAGCAGATGATTTTGTTGGCAGCCCTCCCTTTGGAAGCTCTTGAGCCCTTCTCTTCCTGTAACTCTGGGATTCCTCGTTCTGGAATCCCTCACCTAAACCTCAAACCCAGACCTGGGATCTCAGCCCTGTGCCCTGGGTTAGGCAGAGCTTGAGTTCCATCACAAGCTTTGCTTTGGACCAGGAATTTTGCCTTTCAGGACCAAGGCAATGGCCCTGAAACAGGGTCAGGCCCCTGGGGACCAGGAGGGACAGGGACCCTCTCCCAACCCCTTGGACATGAACATCTGCACCATGTGGGTGCTGCACCAGGCACCTGGAGCAGGGACAGCGGGATCCAGCCCCTCCATGGTCTCTCTGCACGGATCTCTGCTTGCAGTGCAAGCAGGAGACACTGAGCATGGACAAACTTTGCCAAATTAGCCAAGCAGGGGCAGGCAGGGCATGAGGGCCAGTCATCAGCCCGGGCTCACCAGGATGGTGATGCATCGAGCCGGGATGAGCTGTGCTCTGATACAGCCCGGCAGCGATGACACCCTGAGCTGCCCTCGATAACTGGGGGAGGGCAGGGAGCTGACAGCACATCCCTTGTGTCATTTCCCTTCCCTGGAAACAAACTGGAGCCAGAGAGATTCCCAAAATGAGGAAACACCGGAGTCACCAGCCTTGCCTAAGACTCGTGGAAGATGAAGTAAACACTGCTGAGGCAACACATCCCCCTGTAATCCCTGCTGGCTCCAGAGGGGGATCAGAAACCAGTCCAAAACCAGTTTGTCATTGCACACCAGGACAAGCCCCGGATGTGGAGTGGCAGTTTGGCAGCTGCTGTCCCCCGTGCTGTCCCCCATCACACTGTCACTCACAGCCACTTGGGGACACCTCTCTGGAGATGCTCTGTGGGTCCAGGACTGTGAGTGAGTTTAAACTTCTCATTTTGAAAGGTAACTACAAAAAATACCACTTTCCTTTTCTAGGAGGTCCCATGCTGCTGGTGCTTTGAGACCCATCATCCAGTCACTGTGGTCTCCTCTTCATCCAAATCACGCCTCACAGACCCTCTCCTTCCACAGAGCCCAAAACCAGGGAAGAGGTTGTTGGTGCAGGGTGGGGACACCCCACTTTGCTGTAAGCTGGGATGGAGGCAACACAACACGATTAGTAATTTCTAACCCTTGGTAAATGAGCATTTGGCACTTGCAAAAAAAGATTCCTGTCAGTGACTTCCTTTGCTTTGGAAACGGCTGAGTCATCCCTAATTCCTGACACGCACCAGCACCGATCCCAGCACGGGAGGAGGATTAATGGGAGCTCCCGTGGCTGAAGGGCAACCTCTGGGGAGATTCCCTGGGGATTTGGCAGGGACACAGTTGCTGCTGTGTGCCACCCACGGCCCTCCATGGCTGTGCTGCCACACCAAAGCCATGTGCCTGAGGCAAATCCTCCCATCCCGTCCCCTCCGGCCACTCACCACCATCCCCATCACCGTCATATGGGTGGATACGACCACCCCATATGGGACCACCGTGTGCTGGTCCAGTTGGGGATCCCAGAGGGGGCTGGAGGGTCCTGGGCTGGCCAGGGTTTGCAATCAAGTGAGTTCATCCTCGTTTATTTTCCACTTGCTGCTGCAAAAGGGAACAATGGCCCTAAAACATCAGGGCTGGGCAGCTCACCCCACACCAGGAAGGAGGTCAAACCATCACTGTCTGTCCCAGCTCTTCCTCTCTGGAGGAAGGGCAGGAGCAGCTCAGGAAGGTGTGGGTGGTTGGGCATCACCTGAGGGATCCCCACGGCTCTCCACTGGACAAGTGCTTCCTGGGGATAGGGGACAGCAATGCACATCCCACGGAGAGGTTTTGCCAACCTCCCCTGGCCTTTCCCACCACAGGGACCAGACCTGCCACCTCCGAACCCGGGGACAACCCCTCCAGTCCATTTGCCATCAGGTGGCACCAAATTAAGTGACCTTGTGGGGACACATTGGGCCACCCCCAAACCAGACCCCATCCCCCATCACTCCCGTGGGGCGATGCCAACTGGGGCACAGGGTTATTTGCAGCAGGGGTTTTGTTTAATTTGGTTCTAGGCACCCCTCCCACGTGTTCATGTGCTTTGGAAAAGTAAATGGTTACGTTTGGGTGTTTACATTTCAGCGGAACCATTAGATGTTAATGAGCCTGGCCCGGCCCCGGCAGCCTTTTGTGCCAACCTAACTGCGGGCTGAGAGCAGAGTGGGCCACTCCTAATGATGGCAAACGAGGCCTTTGAAATGTTAAGGGCCCAATTCTTTTATCTGCATTTTTTTAGGGTTATTTAATTTACATATCAAACCCTGTTGAGGTCTTTGAATGGCAGAGCAACAGCAGCGTCCGTTCATTGGCTTCGTGTCTCCCGATGGAAGGAGCAGTTATTGGGAGCTGCTGCCTCGTTAAGGAATGGTAATGATGTTGCATTACTAAAATTAGCAGCAGAAGCGGTTCTCCCTCCTCCCACCCCAGTACAAAGTGCAGTGAAGCCCCCCCCCCTCTGCCCTTCAGCACTGAGGCCGAAGGGGCATTTTCAGTCCCTTCTTTTACCGTCACCCACACCCGAGTCGTGTCAGTGAGGAGGATTTTGGGTGGTCTAGGGGTGCAAGGCTGGTTCTTTAATCCCAAGAGATTATCACAGTGTCTTCCCTGCACTCCTGAGTTTCCTCCTCCTTCCTTCACCTCTCCTGCCCTCTCTGCTTTGTCAGTAGAATCATTAAAATGGTGATGTTTGAGTCAAAATTCCCCTTGCTGGAGGGGCCGGGGCTTTCTAGCAGGGAGAATTACAAATTTGTCATATTTGCAATATATATATTATATATATTTATATATTTTATATAGATTTTTGTGGGTTTTTTATATAAGGAGGAGAGCCCAGGTAATGGTTGGGGGTCCATATTTGGCCCCGAGGGATGCAGGGAAGCAGCACTGGGTGTTTTGTGCTCAGGGAGGGGTGTGTCCATGCCAGGCTGTTCCTGTTCCTGGGATCCCCCAGCACCCCCCTGCTCTGCTCTGGTTTGGCACTGAGGTTCCAGCACCCAAACCACCAAACCACCAAACTCACAAGCTCAGCCAAGACCAAAAGTCTCCATTGGGGCAGAGTTAAGGTTATTTTACAGAGGTGTGGGCGGCTGCCAGACACCCAGTGCCCACCCTGGGCCTTTCTGGGCCTTTCTGGGCAGGGAGGGTGTTTTGGGGAGGGATTTGGGGGTGCTCCAGGGAGGAGAGGCAGGAGCTGAGGGAGCAGGCAGGGTGGTGAAGGGGGCAGGGATGGGCAGCCCTGCCTGTCACTGGGGCCAGCAGAGCCTCCTGCCACCCTGGGGGAGGGCTTGAAGGAGCCCCACTGCCCCCAGGCCACGGGCACAGATGTGTCCAGGCAGGCACACGTGTGTCAGGGCATGTGTTTGCACA